CATTAACAAACATATTCTATCCAATTTTGTTTGTGTTACGTACTATATAATTTTTGCCAGTGATGTTATTGTTTTTATTTCTCTTTGTGGGAACTGTCACTTTTCCTTTCCGTCGCTTGGTTTCTTGTTTTTTATGTTATACTTTTATTTTTTCAATCCCTTCTCTAAGACCATTATTGGCGTACATCGTGTAATAATGTAATTCTTAGCTCGAGGTTATATTAGTTTTTCTGGGAACTGTCCTTCTCTTGTTCTTTTGATCAGAAATCTGTACTTTTCATTTTAGGTTTTAATATTTATCTCATTCTTCCTTTTGTCTCTATAACATGATTGAGAGTCGATTCTAGTTAAAATAGTGGCATCTGTTTTTTTGTTTTGTTTTTGTGATAGATATAATTTTCCAATTTTAAAAGTTTTCGATCCTGTAGTTCCGCTAGAGATTGGTAGTACTTGCTAGTAACATCGCTGTTAATTGTTGTTTGACGTATGTTGTTTGTGATGCAAATTGTTATTACGTTACTAACAGTAAGGAGTTAGAAATTTCAGTTAAATGAATAAAAAAATCTTTCCGGAAATTAAATACTTTTTTGGTAGGGTAACAGTAATTTGCACCACAATGAACAAACACTCTTTAATTCTGTGGTACGTCAATGTAGAAATAGCGATGTTACATTTTTTAGCTTAATAGCGTGTATTTAAGTTAATGTTAGAAAATTTGTTTGTTAGGTTTAATTTTCCTGTTTTATTAAATCGAATTGTTTTTATTAATTACGAACACCTATTGTAATCCAATAATATAAATTAAGATGTATGATGTAAATAGCTTAAGAAACTATTTTTTGTGTAAATTATTTTTTGGCTTTTTTGTACACGTGTTTAAAAATATAAATATACCTACAACATATAAGCTACTTATTACACCAACAATATGAATTATTTTCAAATTACATAAGAAAGGTTAGGAATCCCAGAATACTCTAGACTCGATGATGGAAATCTTTGTTATTTCTTAAACTACGAATAAGGTTTGAACACTCCTTATTAACTTTTTTTATCAACAGACAATAAAATTTTCTGAAAATGCTCTTGTTAATGTTTAACTTTCTAACACTGGACTGTATTCAATTGAACTATGTAAATTAACGCGTTGTACATATTAAGTTAAACAGCACTTAATGAGTTCGGCTCTTTTTAATCAAAAATGCAAACAAAATGATGAATGAATAAAGATAAAATTTTCTGTGTGAATAACTGAAGAAATATTTATGTCTATATATCTACACTGTAGATGTTGTAGAGGAACTTCACTCTTGGCTCTGTACCTTAGCCAATATTCTCTTATTTTAAGGATCAACATTAAATTCGTAAACAATATAGTACTGTAAACTTTTATTACAAACTTTTCTTCTTTTTATGTATTTTTGTGGCAAATTTTTATTTTATTGTTGTTAGTGTACCTGAATATACTTAAGTAGCGTAGCGAAATCTGTTGGTCGTGTTCAAAAATTAATGCAATGCATTCGTTCCAAAAGAAATATATAATAACCATACTTAGTATGATAACAGTTATTTACAAATAACACAAACCGATTAAAAATTTTAAGGAAAATTACGTCAAATTTAAATTTAGTAGTAGCGAAATTATAAGAAAATAGCCCACTGCATTACGTACCCGCTGAAAAATGTCAAGAAAAGTTAGTTTGTGGGTAATGATTTCGACACTGCTGTTTGTCGAAACAGGTGACATTTTTATCAAATATCGTGTATTTTATATACTTTACATTTTTTCAGAATCGGACCCCATAAAAGATTTTACTCTAGCCACAGCTGGCGCTAAATTTCCGTCCGATGTGGTTAAACAGTTCCAAGCTTTGGCCTTATTTCCACTTCTGTTGGCACTTTTAAAGAAATTGGGACCATTAGGCATACGTTTGATTTCAATTTTAAATTATTTTGCACCGCACCTAACACCCATTGCAAACGTTTTGAAAGATGTTTTGAGACGATTTGTAGAAACTATAGATCCAACAGTCGCCCAAATCATTAATTTTCTTAATCTTCCATTGGAAGCTGTACCCAAACTACTGAAGATGTTACCGTTGATTTTACCGCTTTTCATACTGTCACCAGTTTTGGGTCCCTTTGGATTTGCTATAGCAGTGAATGCACTTGTAAAAAATGGTATTGTACAACAGTTGCTAGGTAACAATTTGTCGCTACCAACATTAGCAACAGCGTTTGTAATTTTACTGCTCTTTAAACCCTTCTTTCCAAATGCATTTTCTAGCATTTTTGAGTTTTTTAGAGCAGCATTATCAACATACGCTTCACTACCCGATCTAACTCCTCTGACACCATTCACATTAAAATTAATTCTATTTTTTGCGATAATTTTAACGCCAGTGTTTACAACAATAAGAAAATTTGTGAAACCTCCTGGGGGACTTCTTGACTTTTTAGTTTTTACTGCGCCATTTATTAATTTAGTTTTTCCCAAAATTTTACCACTTTTACCTAAGCCCTTACAGTTACTTCTGGTCCCGCTGGTACTTTTGGTACAGCCAGCAATAGCACCATTTTTATTACCCATTGCACCGTTGTTACTTAAATTAACACCGATATTATTAAAGGGTCCTACTTGGTTGTTGATATTGTTTGGTCTATCATTAGCACCTCTGCTCGGTTTGGTAGATCCCTTTTTAGTACCATTACTACCTGTGTTTCTCCTAGTAAAATCTCTTCTAGGTCCTTTGTTACCTTTAGTAGTGCCTATATTGTTGCCATTTTTAGGTCCTCTTTTCGGTCCAGTGTCACTACTTTTGTTACCTGTATTGATTTTGGGTAAGATTCTACCTCTTTTACTACCGTTTTTAGGTCCATTAGCTCCGATATTTTTACTCCTCTTACCATTATTTTTATTACCGGGTGGTTTTAAATTTTTGGGTATAGCAATCTTACTGTTACTTTTATTAATAGGGCCTATAGCGTTACCGTTATTAGGGCCAATTTTGGGTCTGTTTTTAGGTCCACTTTTACCATTAGTTCTCTTAGCTGGGCCACAACTGTTGTCTATTTTAGGACCACTTTTAGGTCCATTAGCCCCCATACTTTTACTCCTCTTACCATTATTTTTATTACCGGGTGGTTTTAAATTTTTGGGTATAGCAATCTTACTGTTACTTTTATTAATAGGGCCTATCGCGTTACCGTTATTAGGGCCAATTTTAGGTCCGTTTTTAGGTCCACTTTTACCATTAGTTCTCTTAGCTGGGCCTAAATTGTTGACTATTTTAGGACCGTTATTAGGTCCACTAGCTCCAATATTGTTACCCTTTTTGCCAATATTTTTAATATTAATTGGTTTTAAGTTATTGGGAGTAATATTTTTACCCTTACTTCTTGTAGTGGGACCTCAATTGTTACCATTTTTAGTCACTTTCTTACCATTTTTGGGACCTATAGCTAAGGCTCTTCTCAGTCCCTTATCTGTATTAAAGAGTATATTCGGCCCAATTTTGCCTATTTTAAGCACAACTCCGATTTGGCCATTCATTTTCCCGTTTTTAGTTACTCTTTTAGGACCTTTGGCATTTCCACTGTTTCTGATAATTAGCACTTTAATCAGTGTATTTGGTCCTATTTTAGGGGTATTTGGACCTTTTCTGGGCTTTCTGGGGCCAATTTTCTTACTACTTTTATTTCCCATTATTTTTGGCTTTATAGGCACTTTTCTAGGACCATTATTGGCACCGTTACTGTCCCTTAGTATAATTGTATAGTTCAATGACAAAAAGTGGGATATTTGTGTATTTGGTGATTAGAAAGTAAAGATAATTATTATAATTTGCCGAAAATTATTTTCTTGTTAATTATTGTATTATATCAATTTTATTGTATTTAAAGTGTTTTGATAGATCGTTCTTTGTGTAATTTTGTTCGCTAAAAAACCCAAAACGCTTAACTGAATAGAATTTAAAATAGAAAATACTGTCTTTAATTTGTTTGTGATTTGTAACACTAATTGTCATTGAAAAACTATTCTTCGACATTTCTATTTTGACAGTGTATTGAAAAGTTCAGATATAAAAATCGCTGCAGTGACTAACAGTAAGACATAACTGATTACTGTGCAATCTTAAAGCTTGTTTACACGAGATGAAAAGCAATAAAATCAATCTTTTGTCTGTGGCGCATGGCTATATAAAAGTATAAATGAAAGCGATAAGAAAACAATAAAGAATTGTGTATCCGTCGAATGATGTTGGTGTGTGGCACATAGAAGAGAGCTTATTGCTTTTCATCCCACAGCATCTCGTGCAAATAGAAATTTATTTGTACTTTATTTAAGTACAATAAGCAATATGAAGTATACTGCAGTATCGCAAAATTCAGTATTTTCATTAGTCGTTAGGGCGAAAAGCGGTTCAGGGATTCATTATATTGTATAGTGTTAGTTTCACAATTTTCAGACGCGTTTTCTACATAATATTGTTTTCATTTCGTAAAATAACATATTTCTGTACTTGTGGTTTATGAATTCGCCTTGATTTTTTACTCTAGTCAACAACCGAGAACCCTTAATCATAAAGAATTTCTTTGTGTGTGACGACTACTTTTAGTGTTGCCATATAGCTAAACAACTAACTCTGAATGTTATTAAAAAAACCCTATATTCTAGCTAGGTGTGTCTCGTTTTGGCTACAAGCCTGTTGAAAACGACAAGACAAAAACTACACAAAAACACTTACTATTACTTATCGAAGCACAAAATATTTTCATACATTATCAACATCATAATTGCTGTCAATAGCATATAATTACTCTTGAAAAATAATAACGTTCCCAAATAACTTATATCGATTTTATAATAGTAACGCTTACACTTATAATTGGATTACATACATGATGGAAATAAGGTGATTACAGTTTGTCAAACATTGTCATTATCGATTATGTAAAATAACATGAATCAAACAGTCGAAAAACAGTATTTGACTTACCTGAACATGCTTGTGGTGGTAGGGGGAAAATGAGGGTAGTAGAGGACTTCCTTCGGGCCACGGCGCAGCCTAAGGACTGCGGCTTGAAAGCGCGAAGTTGCTGCATGAAGTCCGAGCACTCCATGAGAGCAACGTCAGCGAAGTGCAAATCGCAGAGTATCTGGTTTTTGAAGCGTCTTGCTCGCTTCTGGTTGGGACCCGTCAAATTGAGTCCGCAGGAATTGCATCGCAAACATTCCTCGTGGTAGTGATTATTGTCGTACAGCGGCGAAGGTTCTGGAATAGACAAAAATAAACAATACAGAATGGCTGCGAGTATTCAAGACTGATTTCTCTTGGTGACTACTTCTTCTTCCAAGAATTGTGTCCCCCTTTGGAGAAAGAAGGAATTTAATTAAGATTTATTGGATTATTTAAGGGTTCCTGATTTTGGTGGTATAAAATATGACTGAAGAGAAGTTTTGCTTTCAGGAACGTTGAAAATTTCACAGCACCTTGTTGTGGTAATATTATGAAGACCTCTAGATGTATATTAATTTTAAAGTCTAGGTAAACTAACAGCTCTGGCCAATATAACAAATATTATGTATGAGAGTGGCCGGAGGTATAACTAATGCAGTGCGTCTGGAAACTTGAAGCACAGCACACAAATAGGTAGGTATCTGGAAGAAGATTGGTTATTTCTAAATTTTCGTTATACGTAGTAAATTTGATTCAGTTCACTCTGCAAAATGTGTTATATGTTCTTATATAAAAATAATTACAAATTAAGGTTAGTTAATAATATTTTGACATGACGTCATCAGTTCTTTCGGGGAAATGTTTAGAATAATTTTGTTATGTGTATTAGACGGCATATCATATAAGACTATATTTGTTTTATGCTGTTTACGTATTTCTTCTTCTCGAGTAAAGTAAACTATTTCTGGCAAATATTCGATTTACGCTTTCTTGGTGTTGCGTAGATTTCCGCGTTCGTTACTCTGTGTAAACTACATGAGACCAATAGCCTCCGAAACGATTCAAATTACTTCTTAGATACAATTTCGGTTGGCTGAAAAGCTAACGCTTCTCAAAAAATTACCAAATGGTTTATTAAAAAATATCCTCTGAGGGGAGATATTTTTCCTTCTTCTTTTTTAGATAACAAAGTATATTTCAAAGAAATGCAACTTATTTGATCCTATATTTCACAAAAATGTATCTAATTTTTCATAATTCTGACAAGCCAAGACGATTAGTGTCACATTATACACATCAAAATAAACATACTTATTCCAAGGAAAATGTTGACGACGTTATTTCAAAGAATTATTAAATAATGAAGGGAGGGTCATGAGATGTGACTAACTTTGCAGTACTTTTATTTTCTGAGTGGTAGCTTCGGAAGTAGAGGTAGTTTTCTTGCCGTTCGATAAAAATGTAAGATTCCGATCTTTTTTTTGTATTTCTGGTAACCATTTTGTGTTTTGTATTTTTAAGTGAGGATTGTTATAATTGTAGTAAGAATGTTAACACGCTGACGAAAATGTCTCAATTCTCTTCTAAAAAATGAACAATAATTAATTTTTAACTTATTAATATACACATTGTTTGCTGGAAATAGGTTCTGACATACATACGGTACTTGCTATGCGTCCCAGGCTTGGAAAGTTCCGTGAAGAAAACTTTGGGGATTTTTTAGAAATGTAGAAATGCAAAGGTTTAATTTTAAGTAAACAAATATTTACTGCCATATCTATTTAAACGAACTCTTGTGAAAATCCAAGTTCGTACATTTATAATGAATTTACTTTTGGACTGATACTAATTCAAAAGTAATTTAAAATACTGACAAAATAAACAGGCGCCTGTTGTAATTAGTGGTGTGTAATTGCGAGCTCTGGAAGCCACAATGGCCAGACTTAAATAAAAGTAAATTTCAAGGAAAGATGGAATTTAAATTTACAAATTAATTCGTTATTCAGGACGAATGCCGCGATAAGTTTCAGGTGTAAATAATTTGACTTGACAATAAGTTTGAATTAGAGCGGAACTTTCTTTTGGGACATACGTCTGGAAGATTAAAGTAAATTAAGGATAAAACGATGGTGCAGGTGCAAAAAGCCGAGCGAAATTCATCGTGTTCGGAAGTTTTTAGAATGGTTTTGTTTATTTACGTAGATAGAAATTTAATACTTATTTTTAGTTAACGTTGAAAGTTTCAAAGCTAACGATGAAAACGCTTTGCTTTTATTTTAAAAATAGAACGGATTTAGTTATTTTTCATCTTTACAACACTCTTAATCATTTGTTTGTATAAAGTCGTGTTATCAGACTACATCCAGGAAATCCTTTCCTCGTAAGTTTGTTACAAAATCGGCGAATAGAAAAAAATCAAACTCAATGATACTAATTAGAGTTACTTTGGTGCGATGTCACGTCTCCTGTAATTTAATTTTGGCTTAGTTATTGGTGACATTAACCGCTCTACCTTTCCCTCCGGAACAGTTTCGGGGTTAATTCACAGACCGCCGGTGGTTCCTTTGTGTAAAGAAAAATGCATTCAAATTGCTCGAATATTGCGGTCGTGAGCTTTACCATGTAGTTTTATAAAAAAAGTTGGCCTTACATTAATTTTATTAACGACGTTCAAAAAGCGGCTTTTGTGGCCATATCTGCCTTGTCAGGGTGTTTTTATTTTTTCCCGCAGTGACGGCAAGATAGATTTGCATTTCTGGAATCTGCGGGCCCGATATAAAAAATAGCGTGAATGGAACATGGTAATATTTTTCGTTTATGACAGGTTGCCAATAACGGCAATACATTAACATGATCCTTATCCGATTTTCCAAGATACGCGCAACAGTTTGAAAAAATCGCCGCCATAAATTGTTAATTGAAAACGCATCGGAACGCATTGCCGAAGCGCCAATTTATTACAAACAAGTACCTGTTTTTGCTGCTGAAATGTCGATAAGGTCATGCTCCAAACTCGAAAATGAGTAAATAAATGTACATCATCGGCAGAAGGCGCGCCCTGCCCGCGGAAACTAAAAGAGGGCGTCAGCGACCACTCCCGTCATTTCAAAAACGACAAATTCGTCGCCTGCCAGTGAATCTTTTTGAAAATTTAGTTCGAGTGCATGCAGTGAAAGACCACGACGTCGACGTCCACGTGCTGCGGATGCCACGGCACCACTGAGGCAGCGTCGGGGCGCTTTGGCCCCACCTCCCGATCGATTACCAACTGTGTTATCACAAATATTACTGAGATGCCGGCGCGCACATTGAATTTGGGCTTTGCTGCCACCTAATGAATTTACGCGGCGTCATCGCGATAGCCGCAGGAAGTGGTCGCTCTTATCGCAAAAGAAACATTATCTCATCAGCGGTTCCATGAATAATTGCCAACGACATAGTTTGGGAACGCGAAATCGTCCCACCCTTAAGCGAGACAAGTGGATGCTTATTACGCCATAATAAACGGCAATGCTAATTTTCTTATCTAAATCCACGACAGGTCAAGAGTAACACGCGAAGCTGTAAATGTGGGACTGTAAAAGTAATGTAGGAGGGTAATTTAGGCGGGCTGCTGATAAGTCTACTTGAAATTTGAAAGCAGAGCGAAACTGCCGTCTGCAAGCAACAGGTCAGCTAAAACAGTATGTTAGCTACCGAACGTTATCAGATAGAGAATTAATTAAACATCTGGCGACGTGATAACATCCCTACCTGTTTGTGTGCTGGAGTCGAAAAACGTGCTAGAAGTTTCGACGGTCATGGATGCGATGGTACCGTCGAGGATCTGAGCGCTGGAGTCTCTCCTACCTCTGTATCTTTGACAGTCGTCGCTCTGCGAGCTCTGTCTTCTGAAATTCCTGCAACGAATCATCTCCTCCGTCGTCGACTGTCTCCGGAAACCTCTAGCGATAAGAATTTCTTCGGTGGTGGACTGCCGACGGATAGTCGGTCTGTAATTCTCGGTAGGGGGAGGAACGGGTCTGTTGGAGGGACTAGGGTCTCTACTCGAACAACTGGAGCTATCTGGTGACCGATGTCCCGGACCTCTCGCCACGCTTGTGGATTGTCTTCGCAAGCGGCCCCTCCTCGTGGTGCGTCTAACAGGACTAATATCTCGTTCACCAGAACGATCTGGGCTCAAATGGGAACGGGAGTCGCGTCGACCGCGCGAAGCGGAATCGGGGCTCAAAGAATCACGACGGGCCTTTCGCCCGGTGTCGTCAACGTCGGGACTCAGAGCAGTGGGCTGCGATCCCCGACGACTCCAACCACCAGGCGGCAAGCAGCTCTCGTCGTAAGCAGTGTTCTGTCTTTGGAGTCTAGACAGCTTGCTGCTTCTCTCCGGACTAGCGTGACTCCTGGAATCTCGCCTACCTAAGCGGCCGCATTGGGTGGTGGAGTCTCTTCTGGTCGCCAATAAAGGGTGCGTTGGTGTTGTAGCTTGCACGGTGGGCGAAGTCGCCGGAGGAGTAACACTGGAAGTGATAATCGTAGGTGGAGGAAGAGCTTGGGTGCTAGTTTCGGAAGTAACCGACGGTGGTGCAGTAGTGGCAGTAGTGGCAGTAGAGGCGGCAATCTGCGCGATTTGTGCTACAATGGGTGTAGAATCTGAAGCCGTGGAAGAAGTGGAAGGTCTTTGTTCTTGTCTATAGTAGGGTGTCTCGTTAACCGTGCGTGAATCTCTACGTTTTTTTTGCGCGGCTACGATTTTAGGTGGCGGTGGGGTAATTATGGTGGTGGAATCACGCCTACCACTTCTCCCGCTCTCCCCGGAACCCCTTCTGGAGGCCCCGTGCGAGTGCGATACCGAGTCCCGTCTGCCGCTCTTGCTCGACTCCCCGCTGCCCCTCCTCGGCGACGTGCTCGCCGTTATCATCGTCGGGGTGTTGGACTCCCGCCGCTGCCACAGCTTGGCGACTTCCGATCTAAAATCTGAGATGGCGGTGTGGTGCGAGTCCCGCCTGGACTTCGAGCCCATGCTTCTGATACCGGAGTCAGCGCTAGATTCTCTTCTTTTCCGGCTGGTCGAGATGCTCGGAGTGGGTCCAGCTTCGGTGGTCGACTGGCGACCCCACGGAAGCGACCTTGCCAAGTCCGCCAAAGTCTCCCTCCTGCACAGCTGCTTCTGGCGACTTTTCGTCGATCCGCCCCATTCGCGCAAGATGTCGGTGAGTTGGGCCAGAGAGCTTCGGCGGCGGCGGGTAGTGCCGGAGGTGGGCGGGGAGGTTTCTTGGGTTTCTGTCGGCGGCGAGATGCTGCATATCTGCGTGGCGGAGTCCCTCCGGCCGCCCAGTCGCTGCCTGATCGTGGACTCTTCGACCTGCTCGCGAACCAGGTCGTCCCAGCCGTTTCCTCCTTGCCATACCAGCCCGACTTGGTGCGACAGGATGGGAAGGTTGCAGACGAAGCAGATGGCCGTCATTGTCCTGTAAAATACAAGTCCGAATTCACTCGACTGGCAAAGCAAAGTTCGGGTGCATCGTCATGAACGATCGAGTGGCAATGAGTGCTGAGTGCGGAATCTCTAGCTGCTGCAGCGGTGCATGAACATGCTGTGGCAGTTATGAAGAATGAAAGCGTGGCCCCAGATGACCCGAGGCTCGCTAGCCCCGGGCCGGGACGTTTGTATACGGGACCCTAAAAGTGTGCGAGTGCGGACCTGTAGTGGCGCAGGCGCGGCGACGGTAGCTGCGCCATGGCTCATTCTGGCGCCCGGACTCTGACAGACCCTACCAGCCCCTGGACTCGACGAGGGCGACGCTCCACGCTGGTCCGCTCCGGGCTGATCCGCCTCCACCTGCCTGCTAACACCAAACACTTACTACCTCGGTTAGCCTAATTCTACGCAGTCTTTAGACACAACATTTAGTCACATTTAACACGGGTAACGACAAATCAACAATTCACAGACCCTCTAGACGAGAATTTCGATGCGTCTGACAAAAAAAGCAAGGAGCACACAACACAAGGACCACTTCGAGTCCGGAACTTCTAATCTGAATTTCAACTGAGCACAGAGCCTAACTGGAAACTTGTTCAAGTTATTAATTAAAAAGGGACAAAAATTGCTCTTCGGCTTTCGCCGAACTCCGAATTGAGCTTCACGAGCGCTACTTCTGCAAAGAAAGTTAAAGCGCGCTTAGGTCCGGTACAGATAGTAACAGGTGGTTTGAGCGTAGTAGTTTGAAACTTTGGCGGTTTTCGAAGTGCGCTCTAGACATAAATAGGGAGACGTCTTATGGAATCATGCAAGACTCACTTATCTAACACCAACTATAGCATAGTAGCGAAAGCTCGAAAAATCAAGCACTTGAGCTGTGCAGGACTATAGCGTACTGTAACACCGGCATTCGGTATCGCGGTCGACGTTAAACTGGGCACCGACAGAAAGCGTAAACGGCGTCGGCGCCCACTTTCCGACGCCGATGACGTCAGGATTGATTTGCTCCGGGCGAGGGCGACATCTGGGGACCCTCCGCCAACGTGGAGCTTTCAGCTGTGTTTGTAGGTGCACATATCAATCACGTAGGGACACACTTTCATGCTCGGCGTACTCTGCTCCGCTAAATATAAGCTTTTATTAAGCGTATTAGGTTGATTTAATTAAGTTTAATTTTCATTAATTTTCTGCCGGGATAATTATTTATCGTGTTCTTGTAGAGGGAACGCTCTAAATTTATAACATTAAGCAATTTTGCTGAACTGTTGAACTCAAATGCTTTTCTTACTGCATCTATTTATAAAACAGAATTAGAGCGATCTAGTGAGGATCTTTTTGTGCAATTATTAATGCATTTTTCGAAATACAACTCCAAAAATCATTTTGGTTTGGACGTGGAAAAAATTGCACATGTAAAAATTCTTTGTTGTGTAACTTTAAAAATGTAATGGAAATATTTTACGCGGAGAACTTCATTATTCATTTTTCAAATTTAACCTGTGATAGTTTAATAATATATTTTAAAAATTCATTGATCTATTGTGAATAATACGAAACAAATTTGAATTTATTTCAAAAATTTCATAATATCAGATAGTTAGTTGTGTTACCCCTGCCTTTTACTATTGTTGAAAGAATATAACTTCGGAATATAGTCTAAAATTGTAACTTTCTTTAACTTTACGAGGTTTACTAATGTCGTAGTTAGGCTTTAACAATTATTTTGAAATAGTTTATATCAATTGCAACAAATCTTAAACGCTTTTGTATGTTCGACTAATGGCTGAAATTTTCGAAATAAAAAGACAAGATAATTTCTTTTTACGGGCGAAGCCAATTCAGACTAATCACATTTTCTAAAAGCTGAGAAACATCAAGAACATGAAAATCGATATCCCTTAAAATCATCCAATTAAGCTAAGGTCAAGAGCAACTGATGCTACAAACAAGTCTTCAAAATAAAAATGGATAGAAGTTAGAGGGTTAATTATGATTAAATTCGTAAAAAGTAAACAGCATTGATATTTTTACACACCGGAGCTCTGGCTGGTTGATTGATCGACTCAAAAAACCGGTGCGAATGCAATGGTTTTAATTTCTGCAACTCGAAATTGGTAAGGGTGAACTTTCGCAATTTAATTTCGAGCTTCGACTCCCACACTAAATATGTAATAATTACGCAGTTTTGTGCAACACCTTCATTATGCATGCTGACGCTACGCGGTTGAATAAATCTCAGAAACAGCTACATGAAACTTTAAAGACGAGAAAACAGTAATTTGTCACTATACATCAGCTAGCCATTTTCCAAAGTAAGACTAGTTAATTAAAGACTGAACATTTGAACTCCCTAGCGGTTTTAATAAAATTAAATATAAAACGGTGACTATAGAGCAATATTAAAATCTGCAATTATGAATTTCGTGGTGTGGTAGCGTCTGTTTTGTGTTTCAAACGTCGAGTTAAAGTGTGCAATTGAAATAAAATGCGATCTATCTCGTTTTGTGTTTTATTCATGAGCATATCCTCTGCCATCAATAGTACATCGAATTCCATAAATTTCAAATTGAAGATGTTTGTCAATACACATCACGTACTCATTGTTTCTGAAACAATTTGGGGAGATTTGAGGAGGCACTTTCGCGTTTCCTCCTGAAATTTGATGTACCACAATGAAGTAACTGAACGTTCTGAAACTTAGTACATGTATTGATTTATAAAAAGCCTTGCCGGTAAAACATAAAAAAACCGTAACATTACGCTTGAACGTTTAAAACATGAAAAAAAAAAACTTTTGTTCAGTGAGTACGGTGAAAAGGGTGGTTTTAGCGGTTTTCGCTATTAAAAATTATGAGGTAAAGGAAAATATAACAAAATACAGTTATTTAATGATGATGTTGACACGAAAATGAAAACTAAAATCTTTATTTTCAGTGTAATTTTGTATTATGTTAAATTACAACATTTCTATGTATAATATTTTACTGACAGTTAAAACCAAATGGTGTTAGTCCGGGGTCAGAACATTTGCCAGCTCCGGGTTACCACAAACCCTTGCGTTTATCTTCAAAGAAATTCTACTTTATAAAGAATGTTCTGCGTTTTGCACGACTTATGACTGCATAGGTGGAAATGCTAAATAATTCTAGCAATTCCCAGTAGCCCCGTGCTAGTAATAAAATGCTCTTTGTTTTTTATCAAACCCAGGGAACCGTTAACCGAGATGTAAAATTGCATACCCACTTATTTGTACTTTATACATTTAAATAAACAATAAACATTTCCAATATACATCGGTAGTAAACTTTAATAAGCCCTGTAATAATAAACAGTGGAATGCCAAATATTTGATCGTAATAACGCCGACAATGCCTGCATTTAAAAACAAAATAGCCGAGCTTTTCTATTTATTTAAAACATGCATTTCATTAATACAATGCACATTTCATGGATGACGCACTAAAATAACCAAACACGTAGTTTGCTCGCTAAGCTAAAATTGTTTTATGGTGTTCATTGTTCAGGGGCATGACTTTTATTTTCCAGTGTGTGTTGTTCGCACAATTTTGGTAAAATATCTGCGTAGAATCTTCAACGACATAAAGAGATAATCTAGAAAGGTGGGTTCCTGGGATTCTAAGCGTCGGAGTCAAACAAAGCGACTAATCCTTATTTCCTAGCATCCGGAAAATTTCCTGTTCGAGATCTTTCGTGTCCTTAAAGTGGAAAGATCGTAAGCTAACATGACTGAAGAATAATTTTGTATCCGATCGAGTGGGTTCAAGATAAGTAGATAAAATTGTGTATGGTAAAAGCAAACCCGAATAGTGGTTTTGAAAGTTAACGAAGATATTTTCACTGATTAGAAAATGTAAAACAACGTGTTTATAAATTTGGGTTAGATAATGAGTATATTACAATACAAGAACGGTAATAGCACATTACCATGTTAGTTTTTAAGTTTGAACAAAAATTTCGTATTTCGGTTAAACTGAATTCAAACGAATTGTAGCTAGTTTACACTACATAGTTACTACGAGCGTCAAGTTTGTTTACAACGAATTCTAATCTATAACGTGCAATAAAAAAACATGTTTATTTACTGATTTAAAAGAGTGAAGATAAATTTATCACACTGCTGGAATCATTGATTTTCTGTTGTTTTTTATTTTGTACATTTTGTATTATTTGTTGTGTTTACTAAATCTTCCTGCAAATACATCAAACTGTGGTAAAACTAAAAAAAATCTCTAAAGTTGTTTACTTAGAATTTATTTCGCGTCTGAAGTGCAAGAAATGCTGCATAACTCCCACGACGTTTTTTTTTCTATAAAGATTAATTTTATACATTTTGATTGATGTTTTAAGTTTGTAGTGGGAAAAGCAATTTAGTTTCGAAAAGTGTAATACGACACGAATTAAACTTTGTGCTCATAGAACTTTATAGAACTTTTTTTTAAACAACCTTATTCTATTAAAAAATAAAAAATTATTTGTTGCAAAATGCCGTACGAGCAACAGATAACGTCTTCAAGTTGGCACTAGACGTCTAAACTGTTGAGCGTAGCCAACAAAAGCACATTTTTATTGATTGCAGCTTATATGATAAGGTTCAATCCAGTTCCTAGTTTAGCAGTTAAGCTTTCAACAAGAAAAAAAAGTAAATGCAATTTTTGGCGGACAAGTTGGATCTAATTTATCCTAGGGCCGATAGTTTCATCAACAAAATTACTGCTTTAGGAGACCTTCCACGAGATAAGAGACTTAAAAGCGCAATAAAGACCAACAAATTAATGCCGTACAACATTAAATCGTAAAGAATTCGTATTCCGCTCCCGCTGAATCTGATTAGCTCGGTAATACACTTTTCTCGTCAGCGTATTACGAATATTAGAACGACTTATTGGAAAAATGTGAACTACCGAGTAATTTTTTTTAGATCCGTCCATCAGTTAATGGAGAATTGAAATGCTTTCACATACAATACAGTCACGACGGGTGTTTAATACAAATCTAGGTTAACTAGTCTTGTTTCGGTATAAAAATAATAGGAGTAATTCATTATAAATTGATTTTAACATTTCTGTAAGTTTTAAGCAGTTTAGGAAACATTGGGTAAACTATTTCCAACGTAATTTAACTGGATGGACAAATCTGCATAAACATGTTCAGATATTTTAATCAATGTTCCTTTCACGACCACAGAACCCCATACAACTACATTTCAATAAATCACGTTTCCATAAATGATATCAGAAACCTCAAATATTTGAAAATTATGTCTAATTAAGCCGAAATATAACTGACGATATTGCAAATATGTATTAAAGAAAATATCTAGTGTCAAAATATGTATAATAAATTAAATTACAAACAGGGATTTTGACAGAAATGACGTGAGTTTTTTAACAATTCGTCGCCTGAGAACTTGTTTGATCCACAGACCAGAGTGCACTCAGGCTAATGTCGACTCTTCAGAATTTCTAAATTTTTAATCACAATTTTGGTGGTTATTTATTTTCCATACTTTCTCAATTTTTCGATATTTCGACTTCTCGACTTTTCGACTCTTCGATTTCTCGATCTTTTATTTTTCGATTTCTTGATGCCCCAGTTCTTGAATTTTTCGTTGTTTCGATTTTTTACTTTTGGGCTTTTCAATTTTTCGATTCTCCAATTTTTCGATGTTTCGATTTTTCGATTTGTCGGTTTTTCGATTTTTTACTTTTCAGATTATCGGTTTTTCGATATTTCGATTTTTGAATTACCCAACTTTTTTAAATTTTCGAGTTGCGATTTCTCGATTTGTTGATTTTTCAGTTCTTCAAAGCTTTAAAACTTTAGATTTTTCAATTTTTCGACTGTTTTATTCGATTTTTCAATTTTTCAACTTTTCGATATTTTAACATTTCAATTTTTTT